AATTAGAGAACAGGAAGAAAAAGATTATTATAAAATTTGGAATTTATTCTGTGAATGGCTAGATAGAAGAGTAAGAAATTGAAATATGTAGTAATAGTATAATATACAGTATTATACTTGATTTAGATTGAGTAAGAGAATGAATATAATTTAGGTAAGGATGAAATATATTTTTTATTTTTTATTTTTTTTATAAAGATTTTTTATTGTTTTTTGACATACAAACAAACAGACAAAACATAAAAACATCAGCTCCCCCAATATTTATATACAAACAGTGAGTCGGTTGGTTCATCAGTTTTGTGCACTCATCTCATAGTCACAATTACAATTACCTTGTATAATAACTCTTATTGTCAATACAAACTTATAAATCATAATGTCACTATTAAAAAAAGAAGTTTGACTAGACTTTTGTTCGATCATGCCTTTGTGAGATAACTATATTTTAAGTAATTTATTCTAAGACAAATCATATAATCGTGCCAATTCTATCCTAAATAAGAGAGAGAGAAAAAAAGACAATAATTACAATGTTAATGATAATACAATAATTGACAAATGTGATATAAAATACTTAGAATGGTTATACATATAAACAAGTAAGAAATGTAGGATAATATTACTGTGTGCACAAGATATACGTACCCAACCAACACACTGTTGAACAGAAAAAATGGTTTTATTGGTTTGTTTTTGTTTTCGTTATACAAATCAAAAAACTTTTTTAAAAAAAGCATAGAAAGAACGGTTGAAGGATTTGGGGTTTGGCTGGATTAGAGAAAAGAAGGACGGGGGGGAGGGGACATGATGGCAACGTTTCAATATTTGGAGGGCTGCCCCAAAGAAGAGGAGGGGTCCATTTATTCTCCAAAGCACCTTTAGAAGGCAGGAGGAGAAGCAACGGGCGGAAACTAACCCAGGAGAGAAGCAACCTGGAATTCAGGAGAAACTTCTTAACAGGGAGGACAATTAACCGGGGGAACTGCCTGCCACCAGAAGTTGTGGGTTCTCCATCCCTGGAGGTTTTGAAGAAGAGACTGGACAGCCACTTATCTGAAATGGTATAACATCTCCTGCTTGGGCCGGGGGTTGGACTAGAAGACCTCCAAAGTCCCTTCCTGCTCTATTCTGATTGCAAAGGAAAGGGTCGTGTTTTATTCCGCTACTTTCAGCCCAGCTCCGCAGCTTATCGAGGTGGTTTTGAGTTTGTTTTGTAGAATATTGACCGTCTCACACCATTCTATGTGATCTGCTCACCTGGCCAGCCTCTCCTCCACCTCTCACCGTGCATGGAAACCTGGATGTGTGGAGGAGCCGAGGGGAATGCCTGGAGCCTGCCCTCCCCCTGCCCCCCCACCCCAGAAGGAGGGGTGGCTGTGGGGGGCCTCTTGGGGAGCCAGCCAGCCAGGGGCCTGAGATCTCCCTAGTCCTCCTGCTCTGCAGCCCCAAAAACCCAGCCTGCAAAAAAGGATGCTGCGAGATGCCTCACCAAGCGCTTTGGCTCAACCCAAGAGACCTTCTGCTGACAACCATTTCACAATCTTTTCGGGAAGCCGTTTGGTCAAAACGGGAGATACGCTAAGCCAGCAAGATCGGTTCCTGGGAGCCCCACCAACCTCCTGATTTCTGCTCATTGTTGTCTTGTTTTCAAAGTTCCTCTGTCTGACCAGCCCTGGTAACTTCCCCCAAGGTCAACATTTTGCTGAAGCCATTTTTAAAATGCTGAGAGCTGCATTCCTTGCAAAACAAGAATGGCAACCAAAGGACAACATCCAGTAAAAGAACAACGAAGTCTAGAAGTGAACCACTGGCTAAAGGGTTGGGGTCCCCCCCCCCAAAAAAAAACCTTTGGATTCCTGGCCTGCGCTGTCTCAGTGATGGGCTTCTGGCCAGGGATGGGTCGCACCTCACCAAGATTGCGTCTTTGGGAAACGACTGGCTCGACTCATCCGGAGGGCTTTAAACTAAAATGGAGGCGGGAGGGAGACCAATTTTGAGGACCCCCAGGACCTAATTCCAAGCAAAAAACCCCTAGAAAGCAAGTCAAACCATGAAGTAAGGGAGTAAGATAGGAGGGAAGACAAACTCCAACCCCAAATACCGCGATACGTAAACTGGGCCTCAGTTGTTGCTTGTTCAACCGCGAGGAAGTCCACGTTGCACGGCGTGGCCGTCCATGTTCTTGGCCAGCTCTGCCTGCCGCTCCCCTCGGGACCCTTCCTGGATGAGACGGGCCTTCAGACCATCCCCCCAGGGATGGTCTCCTTGGAGATAGACTACTGCAACGTGCTCTACAGGGGGCCGCCCTTGGAAACCACCCAGAGATTTCCATTGGTCTCAAAGGCAGCGGCAGAGGCGCCCAGTGGGCACACCTTGGCCGCCTGCCCGCTTGGCTCCCGTGCTCCAGGAGGTGCCCCGGTGGCTTCTGGGTGCAGTTCAAGGTCTCAGCTCTCCAACCGCCCATCAAATAGATTCCATAGTCCGTATATCTCCTTTCTGTTTCGTTTTTGACGTCCGTCTGTCCGTTTCTGCACATTTCTGCAGTATTTTCTAGTATCTTCATTTTATCCAGCCTTGTGCGAATACAATCCTCACTGCTGTCAAGACGTGCAAGATTAAACGCATACTTTTCTTATGAAGTTGACCTGATATTATACCTCAAAAAAAAAATAGTTCAGGTTTAAAATCTACAATCTTTTCCAATCTTCTTTTCTAGCCCTTTATGTATTTTTCCCCCAAAATTTTCTTGCATTATCACAAGTCCACCACATATGGTAATATGTGCCTGTTTTTTGATGACATTTCCAACGTTTGGTGGATGTATTTTTAAACATTTTAGCTAACCTAGCAGGGGGTAAGTGCCATCTATAAAACATTTTATATAAGTTTTCTTTATACGAAGTTGCCATGGTTAATTCCTTTCCCATAAATTTTGCCATTCCTCTAATTCTATATTATGACCCCAAAAAATTATATTATCTTTCTCGTCTTCTCATCTTTTTCCATCTCCCCTATTACCTTCTCCTATTGGTATCTTACGGTTTATCATTTGTTATTTGTATCTTATGATTAATGACTGTAACTATGAGTTAGGATCCATAACCCATCACTTTTAAACTGGAGATTCTCAGCTTATCTCTATGGAAAGTTTCTTGTTTGTATGGACACGGAGGGTGTCTGTAGCGGAGATAAATTCCTTGTGTGTCCAATCACATTTGGCCAATAAAGAATATTCTATTCTATTCCGACCTGGCAGGGTTGACGCGTACACCCTGAGTCCTGTCAATCAAGCGGTGCCTTTCTCAGGAGCTCGGAAGAGGCCGGACCCCTGGAATGACCTCCCCATGGGCCCCCGGGCTTTGAACCAGAGGAAACGCAGCCCCTTGAGGGGTGTAAGATGTGCATTGCTGAAAAGGTGTCTGAAACGGTCCAGGTTCTCCTGCTTGAGCCGGAGGCTGGACTAGAAGACCTCCAAGGTCCTTTCCTGCATTGATCCGTTTACGTAGCCGCCCCATCACAACACCCGGGGCGGGCAGCCGAATTAAAATGGAACGAAAGCAACAATGAACCGCTGTAAAAAATTAAAATCCAGGCAGCTGTGGAGCCAAAACCCCAGTCAGTACCAGGACGAAGCAGTGGCAGTCCTCGCCATTTCTGTCCTTAAGTGAGACATCCGTTAAGTGAGTTTTGCCCCCTTTTGTGGCCTTTTTTTGCCTCCGTTGTAAAGTGAATCCCCTTCACCGAGGGTGGGATTCAAATTTTTAACAACCGGTTCTGGGAGTGTGGCTCAGGTGGTGGGTGTGGCTTGATGGTGGTCATGTGACTGGGTGGGCGTGGCTTGGTGGTCATGTTATTGGCTGGGTGTGGCCAACTCAACATCACTCACATCGAGGCACGCATCTCCTCACCTGGCCTCTCATGACTGTGGGGATGCTGCAACTGTCATAAGTGTGAAAAATGGTCATAAGTCACTTTTTTCAGTGCCATTGTAATTTTGAATGGTCACTCCACACAAGCAAAGTACCAGCAAAGGAGGGGAAACAACTCCAGAGAAGTTCCAGAGACAGGAAGTCTCGTCCTGCCAAGAATGTAATAAGGGTCAACGGAGAGGCAGTTTCTGTAAGCAACACCAGAATGTTTCCTTCCTGCCTTCCTTACAGGATTAGCCCTGTAATTTCTTCTAACAACCGGTTCTCTGAACTGCTTAGACTGTTAACAACCGGTTCTAGCCAATAGGTGCGAACTGGTAGAATCCCACCGCTGCCCTTCATGCCGTTAAGCTAGTCGCAGGGCTGTTGAGTGACTCAATTGCTCTACTTTTAGTGGATCTATGACTTCTTCCATTCTAACAGATAATCAGAGTGGGAAGGGACCTTGTAGGTCATCTAGTCCAACCCCTACCTAAACAGGAGACCCTACCCCATTTCTGACAGAGGGCAGCCCAGTCTCTTCTTAAAAGCCTCCAATGATGACGCTCCCACAACTTCCTAAGGCAACTTCTGTTCCATTGGTTGATTGTTCTCACTGTCAGAAAATTTCTCCTTATTTCCAGGTTGAATCTCTCCTTGATCAGTTTCCATCCATTGTTCCTTCTCTGGCCTACAGGTGCTTTAGGAAGCCCCAGGGCCTTACCGGTTATAATAGAATATAACAGAGTTGTGGGGGCTAGGAGGTCCTCTAGTCCAGCCCCCTGTTCAAGCCCTCGACCATGTCAGTTTCAGCCCTGACCTTGTTTCGGTGTGCGAAAGCCTCGTCCGTAGCATTGGAGGCTTTCAAGAAGAGACCGGACTGCCATTTGTCAGAAATGGGGTAGGGTCTCCCGCTTGTGGGGGGGTTGGACTAGATGACCTACCAGGTCCCTTCCAACTCTGATTATCTGTTATTTGGAAGCCTCCCTGGCCCCCACAGCTCTGTGGCCACAGCCCGTGGGTGGAGCCCCCACCCACGTGTTTCCCGTGGCTGCCTCCATCGGTTTGCATAAAAAGGCACTGCTGATGCCCACGGAGATAAGACCGGAGCCGCGCTCCCTGCCCTCGTCGAAGATGAAGACCGTCCTCGCCTTCCTGTTCCTGGTGATCTCCGTCGCCCTGGCAGTCGAGCGTCCCAGTGAGTCCTTCGTGCCGTTGGGCTTCCTCTCTTGCAAGCCAAGACCCCCGGGGAGGCCCCGAAGCCGGGCATTCTCCTGGCACAGGCGGCTCAGCTCGCAGCCGTGGCGGTGGGGGGGGGAAGGGGCCGGGGGAGTTGAAGGAGTTACGATGCCCCACTTCCTCTCTCTCTCAGGTGCAGCCCCTGCCCTGACCCAGACCAACAACCGGAAGGGTAGCCCTCTTCTCCTCCCCCCAATTCTGCCTCCTCCTCCCGAGCGGTTCTCGCCCAGCCTCTGGAGAGAGCTATTGGGGGGAGGGGTTGCCTTCTCCGCCCCACTGCGATGTTGCTGATCCAGACTGGGGTGGAGACGGGCAGAGTGTCGGGGTTCCGGCGATCGCCCAAATTAAATTGTAAGCCTGGAGCTTCAGAAAAGCTCCCAGAGGTTTATTAGGAGAGACATGCCGGCACGACCTGTAGGAAGCCGACTCGGAGACCCTGGGGGAGACGCTGCCCCAACGGCAGACGGGGTCCAAGGCAGGACTTGGGGGGGGGGGTGAGAGAGAGAAGGCAGACTCCCCTCTCCCCATGAGAGAGGAGCCATGCAACGGGGCACAGCTGGGGCCCCAGGAACCCAAGGCCAGCTTGCACATAAGTTGGAGGGACATTGCACCCAAAGGAAAGTAAGGTTCCTACAGGGTTGGTGTGGAAGCCAGTGAAAGGGGCTCCCCCTTTTCTTGGTAGTAGCCCCTCAAATACTGGAAGACCAGATCTCCCCTAGTCCTTCTTTTCATTAAACCGGCCATACCCAGTTCCTGCAAACGATCTCCGTATGTTTTTTAGCCCCCAGCAATCCTCTCGGTTGCTCTTGAGCTGCCAATCTCCGTTTCCTGCCCATTCCGGGATGGCCGGAGAACTTCTCCACCCAACGGTGGTGAGACGTCTCTCCTTCTCTCTTTCCTTCCCCAGTGGATCCCGTGTCCTCCTCATGTTGCTTTAGCTTCATAAAACGCCCCGTCCCACTGAACCTCTTGAAATCTTTTGAACACACCAGCGAGAGCTGCAGCGTGGCCGCCGTTGTGTAAGTTGGTTCAACTTGGTTCGGTTTTGCGAGACGTTCCGGAGCTTCTTTCTCATCCAAAGTCTAAATGCTAAATCAGCGCGTCTCAATGTTGGGCATTGGAAGAGGGGTGGACTTCAACTCCCAGAATTCCCCAGCCAGCGGAAGCCCCTCTTAAAACGTCCAGCATTGAGACGCGCTGGGTAAAATCCTAATCTGGATTAAAAGCAGACATTTCTCCTTTGCAGATTCCTTACCCAAAGAGGCCTAAAGATCTGCGCAGATCCCTCGCAGTCCTGGGTCCAGGATCACATCCGTGCCCTCAGCGCATCCTAAACCTGCTCCGGGCGAGGGGAAAGAAAGCCCCCCCCCCCTCTTGGCAGATGCCCGTAATCAAAGGAGAGGGGGAAAAAACCCCCATTATTAAAGGCAGTGCTTTATGCTGAAGCATGTGCAGAGTGCTTTCTGTTTATTATCACCCATCGGAATTAGGCTTATGCCTGTGTGTGTGTGTGTGTGTGTGTGTGTGTGTGTGTGTGTGTGTAATCTGCCTTGATGAAGCCCAGAAGGCTGAACTGTGTTGAAATAGCAAACTACCGGATTGCAAAGAGGAGGGGGGGGGGTCGGCATCATGGTAAGGGGCTCATGCCCAAAAGTAGGAAGGAGGGGGGAGAAGGGAGGGAGGGAGGGGTTGCATCCCCCCCATATATGAAATCCTGGAAGGAAGCCAGGGGCTGGACTAGAAGACCTCCAGGGTCCCTTCCAACTTTTCTTCTTCCGGGTTCTGGTTTATTTCCAGGAACGATATTGCGGCTGGTTGGGGGCGGCATGCAGATCGGTGGGGTCTGCTAGATGACCCCACCCCGCCCCACCGCGTTTCATGGGAATTTAGGTGGGGGTTTCTTGGCCTGCTCGGGGAGATGCGGACAGTTGGGCGGAGAAAACCGCCCGGGAGCTTCGGTTGAAGCAGCCTCGACGGCTTGAAAAAGGGGGGACTTCAACTCCCAGAATTCCACAGCCAGCAACGGAATTCTGGGAGTTGTAGTCCGACCTTCTTTCACCCCCTCCGTCGTTTCTCTTCGCCTCTTCCCAGTGAGGAATTCACCTGGGTAGAGATGTGGGGGAGGGGCAAGGGGGGCTTCTCCTTGGTGGAAGACGCCCCCCCCTCCCTGCAGAGTTCCCGCCTTCACACACACACACACACACACACACACACACAGAGTAAAAC